ATTTGAATCGGCCAATTTCAGGTTCTGCGACTCCAGGCTTGTAAACAGGCACCAGTGGGCCGACCGGTGGGCCAGTGTGCTGTCAGTAACCGGGAGGGTAGGGAGGAAGCAGGATGGTGGCCAGCGCCGGGGCCCTGGTTGCTACCTGTGGGCCGGTAGAGGTGATGTCCACACCGGGGTGTAACGCCGGGGTAAATTTTTGCTCTCCACAGAAAGTTCAGGCCCCGGGGGAAACCTAAGGGGTTGGATCACAAGTTTGAAACATGTGTTATAGGGGAGGTGGGTGGAGCCATCTGTCCCCTGTGTGTGACTTCACTTGTCCCCTGAGTGTGGTCCCATCTGTCCCCTGTATGTGGCCCTGTCTGTCCCCTGAGTGTGGCCCCATCTGTCCCCTGTATGTGGCCCCATCTGTCCCCTGTATGTGGCCCTGTCTGTCCCCTGTGTCCCTGTCTGTCTCTGAGTGTCCCAACATAGCCCACTGCAGGAGCTGGCCTAGGGCTGGGGAGCACCGTCTCTCCCTGGAGTTTCTCAGCATTGTCCCCCGCCCCCGGTCGGTGGGGTCATCTCGGTTGATGCCGCACTGGTGCATCGACATGCAAATACACATGAGTGTTGTTGGATGGGTTGGCCCATGTGGTGGGTATCTGCGTGTGCACTTCCTCCAGGGACTGGAGCTCTGCTGTGTGACCACGTGTGTGTTCACTGAGCTCCCAGTGTAGACTCAAACGATGGGCAAGAAAGCATGTCAGTAAATGAAGGCCTGGAATATTCTAGATGGCACATCGTGCTAGGCATGTGTGTGTGTTCACTGGAATATTCTAGATGGTGCATCCTGGTGGGTGTGTGTGGATGATCACTAGACTATTCTAGATGGCGCGTCTTGGTGTATGTGTATGATACTGGAATATTCTAGATGGCACACCCTGGTGTGTGTGTGTGTGTTCACTGGAATATTCTAGATGGTGCATCCTGGTGGGTGTGTGTGGATGATCACTAGACTATTCTAGATGGTGCGTCTTGGTGTGTGTGTGTGGATGATCACTAGAATATTCTAGATGGTGTATTGTGTGTGTGTGTGTGTGTGTGTGTTCGCTAGAATATTCTAGGTGGCACATCCTGGTGTGTGTGTGTGTGTTCACTGGAATATTCTAGGTGGCACGTCCTGGTGTGTGTGTGTGTGTGTGTGTGTGTGTGTGTGTGATACTGGAATATTCTAGATGGCACATCCTGGTGTGTGTATGATACTGGAATATTCTAGATGGCACATCCTGGTGGGCGTGTGTGAGCCTTCACTTGGCAGGTGCTTGTTGAGCAGCAGCTGGGCACTGTTGGTGTGAGGAGCGGGTGGCTGGAGTGCACACCCACGTTGCCGCGCGCTGCAGCTCTTCTAGCTGGGTTCTGGCTGCTCGCCGTTCTTTCTGCCCTCAGTGCTCCTGTTGGGAGCCAGAGTTCGATCATGCATGCATGTCGCCGAGAGACGTGACTCCGTAACGCCGCGGGTCTTACAGTAGCCTCGGTCTCTGTTACCAGCCCTGCGCACACAGCTCGCAGCTTCTTCATTTCCCTGGGAACTCGGTCTGGCCTCCACAGCTGGACCTGCGTCTGGCTGGGCTGCCAGGACGTTTTGTCCCAGGCTGGAGTGTGGGAGTGACCGCTGGCCTCCTTCCCTGGGCATGGCCCAGGCTCACAAGCCTGCTGTGACCTAGTAGCCTGGATCAGGGCCGGCCTGAGTGCCAGGCACAGGAGCCGCATGCCCCGGTTCTTGCCTCGGACTTTCCCCGGGGAAATCTCATGTCAGTGAAGAGACCGAATGAGATGGTGAAGATGGTCATTGGGACAAAGTGGTCTCATGTTTTGAAGAAGGACGGGGTCTTGCGTGCTCTCATGCTGGCCACCTTGTCATCTCTTACCTGGCTGGGTGGTCCTATCAGCACAGTGGGTAGGCGTGGCACCAGGGAACAAGTGTGGCGGCGCAGGTGTCATGGGGCTGCCCTGTGAAAGCGGCCAGCGTGGCCTGGTGACAGGGGCAGGGAGGGAGTGACTTCTGTCTCAGTACTTATAGGAGCCCCCAAGTTCGGGGAGATTACGGATGAGTCTTGCCCTGGCTCAGGCCATCCGTCTCAAAATGGTTCCTCAAAGTCCTGGTGGAGCTGTCGTTGCCATGGTCAGCCTCTGGCGTAGGACATTGCAAGCTTTGCAGACTGTGGGGCAGTCATGGTAGGTGCTACCCTTGGCACACTTCCCTGTGTGGAGGCAGGCAACCCTACAGGCATTGGGCGGCAGGGCCAGCGGCGTGGCAGGCATCCCAGGACACCCTCTCCATGCGGGACTCCCGCCTCAGCACTGGGCCTCCGGCCGTCCTGCTCCACGAGGCTGTTTGTGCGGTCAGCTGCTGAGATGAACAATAGCAGCTGGGTGCAGCTGGCCGCTCTGGCCTGGGAACGCCACTTGCAGCCAGCACCCAGGCTAACAGAGTGGACTGCGCGTTCCAGCAGTTGCTCTTCGTGCCTCCTGTTTGTGTTAGCTGTTTGGAAAGCCCTGGTCAGCAGCCTAAACAGGCCGCTGGCCCTCCTGGCTCTGGCTGCAGCTTTGTTAGACGTTTCACAGCCGAGGGCTCTGGGCTGGCTGCTCCCGGATCCTCAAGGAGCGGACCAGAGCCCCAGCCAAGCGATGAGTCCTAATTTGGTGCCATGGAACAAGCTGGTTGTCTAAGGGTGCAGGCCCCAGGAGGCCTCTCTGAAGCTGGGAGCGGCCCTTGCCCTGCTGCTGCTGAGCCCAGGAGGAGCATGTTGCACAAGAACCCCCTGGAATTCTGGGCTGCACAGGACAGAGAGGCGCTTCTGTCCCCAGCGGTCAGTCCTGGCTGTGGCTGCCCGGCGGGAAGTCCCTCCCAGCCCCAGATGAGGAGTGCTTGGCGTGGGCGGCCTGGGCGGAATTCCGGGCTGGGCCCTGCCTGCACAAAGACTAGCTTCTCCTGTTGCCCCCGCCCCCTCCTGCAGCACAGCGCTGGAACAGGAAGCGGCTGCTAATTGTGTGTGCCTCGCTGAGAACATCTGCACTTGAGGTTTTTAGTTGATGGAAGGAATGCACCGTGGGAGGGGCCGGCTTCAGAAGGGGACCGCCTGTGTGCTGGCATGTGTGCACAGGCTTGGGGGGAGAACCGGCAGGGTCCCCTGCAGGAGCAGCCTCTGTCACCTGGCCGCCTCCACCCTTCTCACCTCAGCCAGGTGCTGCTTTGGGTTGCTCTATTGCTGCAACTTCCCTGTCCACTCTGGTCAGAGGGCTTTCCTGGACCTCAGGGGGAGCCTCCCAGCTGACAGCCAAGCCGTGGTGGAGGGCTCATTGTTCTTTTGAAGTTGGTTTGGTTTGACCTGTTTAAAAAGCAGCACGAGAGCAAGGGAGCATGGTGTCTGCTCCTGGTTCACTCCCCGGTGCCCCAACAACCAGGCTGAGCCAGAAACCCATCCGGCCGTGGGTGATGGGCCGAGTCCTGGGTCGTCACCTGTCCCCACCCCCCGCAGGCACTAGGCGGAAATGGAGACACATTTCCATTGCCAGGGCTATGATGGGTTCTGCCAGACAGCAACTTGACCTGCTGTGCCCCATGGCCCCACCCCCAGCACTCTTCCTAAATGTCTGGGTGGCTGTGGAAGCCCCTGGGTGGCCACTGCTCTGGTCTCAGACGCGGTACCCTGTCTTCCCTGCAGCAAGTGCCCGCCATCCCTCCCCCGTGTGCCCGTGTGCCTGGCAGCCTGTCTTCTGTGTGCTTGCCCCAAGCATCCTCGGGCTGTGGGTGCGGCTGCTACCTGTGGAAGCTGGCCTTGCAGGTGTCGTTGGTCACCTGCAGCTGTGTCCTCACAGTGCTGTGCACATGGCGGCTACTCCCTGTCTGCTGGCAGCCCTGATGGCCAGACTGCTCTGTCGTCCGCCCTGGGCCTTCTGAAAGGCTGCGGGCCCCCAATCCATTCCACTGCCTCCCACTGACCCTGTCTCCGTGGGCTGGTGTCTAGAGAGCAGCGTGGGGTCAGCAGGGAGGTGGACTGTGGAGAACTGAGCATGTCTGGGTGCCCCGGTTAACAGGAATCTGTGAGAATCCCACACAGCCTGCTGCCGAGTGTCCTGTCCGGACACAGCAGGAGGCCACGCAGGCCTGTGTTCTCATGGGGGGGCGGGGAGTGTGACCTGTGCCTGTGTGGGGGCTGCATGGGGCGACCCTGTGGGGAATCCATCCATCCAGTTGCCAGTGAACTGGTTAACCTCCACCGACATTCCTGCTACGAGGTAAGCAGGCCAAAGCTGGAGTGGGACAGAGCCGGGGCTGAAGTTGGGGCACGGGAGTGCTGCCCCGCCTTGCTGTGCCATCGGCTTTGTGTTTATGTTAGGAATGGCTAAGCCCCGTCAAGTGACTGGGCAGTGACCACTGGTCACATCCTCTTGCTTGTGGCTAACGCTGGGTGGACACAGTAGGCTCGGGGCAGCTGCTCTCCAACCCATACATGGTGATGAGACTAGGAGCCTGCCTATCGGAGGCAGGACAGTGAATGGCCATTGGAGGGCCTGACGCCCTGACCCCAGGGTATGTGGCCACACCTGTGCTGAGAGCCTGGCGCAGCCCTGAGGTCATGTCCGCCTGGCCGCAGGCCTGCTGCTGTTCCTGCCTCGGCTCTGGCATTTTCTCCTCTGTTCCTTGTCCTGAGTACGGCCCTTCCTTCTGCACCTCGGGCTTGGGTGGGGTCAGGGGAGCCATCTTCGAGGTCTCTGACACTCAGGAGGCCCGGAGGCAGCTCTGGGTCTGACCTTGCCAGAGCGCGTCATGGCCGATGACTTCGGCAGCAGCGGCCTGAGCCAGCCTCGGGTTTGCTGAGCAGACTGCCCCTTCCATCTGTCTGTCTGCCCGGCCCAGCGCACGTGCTCCTCGCTGAGCTCCACACGGTGCCAGGAGCAGGGGGCATCCTGTGTTCCGCGGGCGGACTCACCCACGGTGACCGTGTCCCCTGCAGGCAAAGCCTTCGACATCACCTATGTGCGCCTCAAGTTTCACACCAGCCGCCCCGAGAGCTTCGCCATCTACAAGCGTGCGCGGGAGGATGGGCCCTGGGTGCCCTACCAGTACTACAGCGGCTCGTGCGAGAACACCTACGGCCGGGCCAGCCGAGGCTTCATCCGCACGGGCGAGGACGAGCAGCAGGCGCTGTGTACCGACGAGTTCAGCGACATCTCCCCACTCACTGGCGGCAACGTGGCCTTCTCCACGCTGGAAGGGCGGCCCAGCGCCTACAACTTCGACAACAGCCCTGTGCTGCAGGTGGGTGGCGGATGTGGCCGCAGCCCCTCTCGGGGCGTGTCCTTGCGGCAGGGCGCTGGGCACAAGAACTGTCTGAGCCCTGGCTAGGGGATCATGACATGTGGGTGTGCCCTCAGCCCAGGCTGGGCCGTCGTGGTGGCTGGCAAACACACGGGCCCGCCCCAAGGGGCTGCTGCGGCCTCACTGTGCAAGTCCCCAGGGCAGGCCTGCAGCTCGACACCACGAGCTGTGTGTTGACTTGTCCGGTGGGCAGGCGCTGTAGGGAAGCCCCGTGGGCCTGGTGGTGCTCATGGATGGGCGTGGGTGGGAAGAAGTGCAGTGAGCACATGGGCTGTTGGATCCCTGGATCCCCTGAGACGCCAGCACAGCTCTGCTTTGCCCCATCCCCAAGAGACAAAGGCACAGCTGGAGTTGGGGCAGCTGGAGGAGCACGGGATCAGGGCGTGGTCACCTAACCCTCCCCCCATGCCTCCTGCCCTGTCCCTCCACCCCTGGGTCAGGACCACCTAACCCTCCCCCCATGCCTCCTGCCCCGTCCCTTCACCCCCGGGTCAGGACGTGGTCACCTGTTCCCCCCTCCAGCTCTCCATCTCCCCCAAGCCCCCCAGCCATCCCCCTTCCTCCTTCCTAACGTGTCTATTTGGTGTTCTCTGCCAACAGGAGTGGGTGACAGCCACAGACATCAGGGTCACCCTGAACCGGCTCAACACCTTCGGGGACGAGGTGTTCAGTGACCCCAAGGTCCTCAAGTCCTACTACTATGCCATCTCCGACTTCGCCGTGGGCGGCAGGTACGGGGTGCCTGGCGGCCGTCTCTTCAGACCTCCGCCTCGTCCTGTCCGGCTTCTGTGAGGCCTTGAGGTGGGGAGGGGATGCCGTGGGACATCTTCCTGACCAAGCAGGTGCACAGGGGCCCTGAGGTCGGCCAAGACCACCTGCCTTCTGGTGGCGGGGGTCACTTGCTGGACCTGCGGTGTGAGGGGTGGTGCGTGACAGGTCTGTGAGTTTATAGGTTTCATGATTTCTTCTTTGAGAGGGAGCAGCTTCCTCCCTCAGTAGCCAGGGCTCCCACATGGGGCGCCGGGACCCACGTGCCTGAGCCAAACCTCCCAGGCTATGCACCAGCAGATGGAATCGAGGCTGTGCTGTTGGGTGTCAGACAGGGCATCTCAGCCGTGGGGCTGACGCCCACCCACTGGCCAGGGACCTTCGGCTGCAGGCTGCCCATTCTGCTACAAGTCCCTTGGCCTGCAGAGTTCCTGGCATGGGGTCAGTGCTCAGTGGGCACTGGGGGAGGCCATGACCAAAGAAGGATCCAGTAGTGTTCTGGGAGTGGCAGGGAACATGGCCAGGTGGGGGACCTGCAGAGCCAGGGTCGTGCCCTTTTGGGGCTCCACAGCCCCCCCGTCCTCTCCCCAGGTGTAAGTGTAACGGCCATGCCAGCGAGTGTGTGAAGAACGAGCTGGGCCAGCTGGTGTGCAACTGCAAGCACAACACGCACGGCGTAGACTGTGAGAAGTGCCTGCCCTTCTTCAATGACCGGCCCTGGAGGAGGGCCACAGCCGAGAGCGCCAGCGAGTGCCTGCGTGAGTGCCCACAAGGCCGGTGCCCGGGGAGGGTACTGGGAGGTGTCAGGGCGCCCAGGGAGGTGCCCGTGCTGGGACACCCCAATTTCTCTCTCTTTCCCTGTCATGACTGCCCCCAGGGAGCCAGGGTCATGACAGGCGCCAGGGAAAAATGGCTGTCCAGGAGAAGATGGCATCTTGGCAGAGTGACTGGTTCGAGGCACATTTCTGCCTCCTGGGTCACTCCTCAAAGGCACCTCGAGGGAGCAGGAACCCAGAGCGTACAGGCTGCAGCCGTGACGGACACGGCCTCTGGGCCCCTGGCTGCTGTGTGTGCCTTGGGCAGGGTCCACAGTTCTGGGCCAGTGAAGCCTGCATGTGCCAGGGCGCCACGGGGAGGACAGGGCCAGTCAGGACCTGTGCCCCGCCCCGCCGGTGGTCCTGCTCCTGCCTGCGGGGGCACCGCCTGTGGGGAGAGGAGTCCTCGGGTGGCCAAGGATGCAGGTGGTTGGCACCCGGCTCTGGGCTAGGAGCAGGTGTGGTTCTGGATGGCTGGACATGTGCTTGGCATCAGCCCGTGCGTGAGTCCCTAGCTGGGGCGGACGCAGGGCCAAGTGCCCCACAGCCCTGACGGGCTCCATGTGTTGGCCCACAGCCTGTGACTGCAACGGGCGCTCTGAGGAATGCTACTTCGACCCCGAGCTGTACCGCTCCACCGGCCACGGCGGCCACTGCGTCCGCTGCCGCGACCACACTGCTGGCGCCCACTGCGAGCGCTGCCGGGAGGACTTCTTCCGTCTGGGGAGCAGCGAGGCCTGCTCGCCGTGCCACTGCAGCCCGGTCGGTGAGTGCTGAGGCCCCGTGCTCCAGCTCTCCACCACCCCTCGCTGGCCAGGGTGACCTTCCTGAAGGGCCTGTGGTATGTGTCGGTGTGGGGGCGGCCTGGACAGCGGTGTGTTGATCGTCAGCAGCCGGAAGGCCGGGGCCACTTGAGCTCAGTCTGCGAGTCCAGGCTGAGTTGTTTAGTCTATCTCTGTTGCGGTGCATGGATGTGTGTATTGGGGTGCACGATGCGTGCTGCCGCTCCCAACGGCACTGAGGCTGGCCCATGCCGAGGGGTACCCACTCACGGGCCTGAGTCAGGGTGTGCCTGCCAGGTGGGAAGGCCGTGGCTTTGCAAGCCCCAGTTCTGAGCTTCCTCACGGCAAGTCTGTCTCCTGTCTGTGACTGCCTAGGGGTTCCCCCATCGTGGGGTGCGAGAGATGCCTGTGATGGTTGGCTCTGGCCGTGCTGTGGCTAACCACAGCCCCTTCTGCCTCAGGTTCACTCAGCACACAGTGTGACAGCTATGGTCGCTGCAGCTGCAAGCCAGGGGTGACAGGTGACAAGTGTGACCGCTGCCAGCCTGGCTTCCACTCGCTGACTGAGGCCGGATGCAGGTACTGTGCGTTCACCCCTGAGGCAGGCGCCTGAGCCTTGGTCTGCAGCCGTGGGGTGGGAGGAGTGCGGAGATGGGGCACACAGTGCCCTGGACCGTTATCACCGAGATGGGGCCCAGGGCTTGGGGCTGGCATGGGCACCCCAGTGCAGTGAGCGTTCTGGTGGGCTGGCTGCAGGCTCATGCTGGGCCGGTCAGCTCAAGGAGCCAGTGCTGAGTCGGGCGGGACGCCCATGCTCCAGCCTGACTTGTGCACCCCTAGGCCGTGCTCCTGCAACCCAGCTGGCAGCGCCGACGAGTGCAGCGTGGAGACGGGCAGATGCGTGTGCAAGGAGAACGTCGAGGGCTTCAACTGTGAGAGGTAGTGTGGGACCTGCTGGCCCTCTCCCGAGCCATGCTGGGAAGGCCCACGCACCCACACCAGCGTCGTCTCGCCCCATCAGGTGCAAGCCTGGCTTCTTCAACCTGGACCCCTCGCAGCCCGGTGGCTGCACGCCCTGCTTCTGCTACGGCCACTCATCCGTCTGCACCAGCGCCCCCGGCTACAGCGTCCACACCGTGTCCTCCACCTTCCATGCCGGTAAGTTCTGCCACGGGCTTTTCAGCTGGCGGCCCTTCCGCGACTCCATGGCAGGGCTGCCGTGCCTAAGCGAGGGAGGGTGCGAGTGGAGCTCGGCGTGGGGCAGCACGATGTGTCCTCCGGGTGCTGGGCACAGCAGGCGTCTCTCTCCCCACAGACGAAGACGGCTGGCGCGTGGAGCAGAGGGACGGCTCCGAGGCCTCTCTCGAGTGGTCGTCCGAGCGCCAGGACGTGGCTGTGATCTCCGACAGCTACTTCCCAAGATACTTCGTGGCACCAGGTCAGTGGGGACCACATGCTGGCTGGCCAGCCTGCCACACAGCTCCTCAGCTGCACCATGCTGACTTGTTCACACCTGCCCCACGTGTGTCTGTCCGCGTGTCTTCCAGCCAAGTTCTTGGGGAGCCAGCTGCTGAGCTACGGCCAGAATCTGTCCTTCTCCTTCCGTGTGGACAGGCGGGACACCCGGCTCTCTGCGGAGGATGTGGTGCTGGAGGGCGCTGGCGTGCGTGTGGCCGTGCCCTTGATTGCACAGGGCAACGCCTACCCGAGCGAGACTGCCGTCAAGTATGTCTTCAGGTGAGCTCGCTCCCGGCCCAGGCGCCACCGGTCCTCCTGACCCGATGTCCCCCCAGCTCGTGCTGACCGCACTCTCTCCCCCAGGCTCCATGAGGCAGTTGACTACCCCTGGCGGCCAGCTCTCAGCCCCTTTGAGTTCCAGAAGCTCCTCAATAATTTGACGGCCATCAAGATTCGGGGCACCTACAGTGAGAGGAGTGAGTCACCTGGCAGTGGGTGATCTGAGGGCTGGGAGGGTCAGTACAACAGTGACAGAGAGTGGGGAGGGTCAGTGCAGGGAGAGGGGGAGGGCCAGTGCAGGGAGGGGGAGGGTCAGTGCAGGGAGAGGGGGAGGGTCAGTGCAGGGAGAGAGGGATGGGGGGGCCAGTGCAGGGAGGGGGAGGGTCAGTGCAGGGAGGGGGAGGGTCAGCACAGGGAGAGTGTGGAGGGTCAGTGCAGGAAGAGGAGGAGGGCCAGTGCAGGGAGGGGGAGGGGCAGGGAGGGGGGAGGGTCAGTGCAGGGAGAGGGGGAGGGTCAGTGCAGGGAGAGGGGGAGGGTCAGTGCAGGGAGGGGGAGGGCCAGTGCAGGGAAGGGGAGGGTCAGCACAGGGAGAGGGGGAGGGTCAGGGTAGGGAGGGGAAGGGTCAGTGCAGGGAGAGAGGGAGGGGGAGGGCCAGCGCAGGGAGAGTGTGGAGGGTCAGGGCAGGAAGAGGGGGAGGGCCAGGGCAGAGAGGGGGAGGGCCAGGGCAGGGAGAGGGGGAGGGTCAGCGCAGGGAGGGGGAGGGTCAGGATAGGGAGGGGAAGGGTCAGTGCAGGGAGAGGGGGGAGGGTCAGAGCCGAGATTGTCAAGCTGGAAATGGGACAAGTCAGAGAGGTAAGAGTGGGTGTCTTGTGAGGCGGTCCGGGGCAGGTTCAGGGTGAGCGTGTGGTCTGCCCGCTCTGAGGGTGAGCAGAGACCATGAGTGAGTGAGATTATAGAGGTGAGCAGACAGCATTGGGTCACAAATGGAGACGTTGGGAGATTGGGAGCTGCCTTCCATGCTGACTGGACTTTGAGCTGTGGCAGGGGATGGTCTCGTAGCCCCTGGAGGACACTCCCCAGGTCACTAAGTGACCAGCACGGGCCATCACTCGGCCTGAAGCAGCTGTGACGGAAACAGAAGGAGGTGGTCACTGCTCTCTGCCTCAGGCTTCCCTCCATGCCAGTGCCCTGACAGAAACACAGGACCTGGGCCATGGGTGCCCTGCTGGAGTTACCCAGATGTGGGGAAGCCCTGGGCCAGGGGCCATCACAGGCACCCTGCGGGAGTACCCAGGTGTCAGGAAGCCCTGGGCAGTGGGCCGTCATGGGCGCCCATCAGGAGTACCCGGCTGTTGGGAAGCCCTGGGCTGGGGGCTGTCACAGGCACCTGGCAGGAGTACCCGGTGTTGGGAACCCCATTGTGGGCACCTGGCAGGAGTACCCGGTGTTGGGAAGCCCTTGGCAGGGGGCCGTCACGGGCACCCATCAGGAGTACCCGGGTGTTACCTGTGGAAGGTGCTGTCTCCTCCTGTCCTGAGCTGTACCATCCAGCACCTGCTTCTGTGCCACCTCCTGCCCTGGTTTGTTGCTTCCTCCTGCCTGCACGAGTTCCAGCAGCGTCCCTGTGGTCAGTGGGCAGCGTACATTCAGCAGGGCCGTGTGGACGTCCTGGGTGCCATTTCTCAGTCCCACCTGCAGTGGCCAGTTCACCTCACACCTGCCATCTGCAGACTTCCAAGTCACCAGTTCTCTTCTCCACGCCCGCACAGGTGCAGGGTACCTGGATGACGTCACCCTCGCCACTGCTCGCCCGGGACCCGGGGTCCCTGTCACCTGGGTGGAGTCCTGCACCTGCCCTGTGGGCTATGGAGGGCAGTTCTGTGAGACATGCCTTCCAGGCTACCGACGAGAGACGCCGAGCCTCGGCCCGTACAGTCCCTGTGTGCCGTGTACCTGCAATGGGCACAGCGAGACCTGCGACCCTGAGACAGGTCAGGAGCTAAGCCGAGCGCCGGCCGCCAGACCCGGCCCAGCAGAGCTCGCTCCTCATGTGTGCTCCCCACGCAGGCGTCTGCGACTGCAGGGACAACACGGCTGGGCCCCACTGCGAGCGGTGCGGTGACGGCTACTACGGGGACTCCACCGCGGGCACCTCTGCCGACTGCCAGCCCTGCCCGTGTCCCGGAGGCTCCAGCTGCGCCATGGTCCCCAAGACAAAGGAGGTGGTGTGCACCAACTGCCCCACGGGCACCACTGGTGAGTCCTCAGGGAGGACGGGGGTGGGCGTATCTCCGCAGCCAGGTTCTCCAGGAGAGCTTGGGGAAGCGGAGCTTGAGTCTGGAGCCTCAGCCCAGACTCAGCCTCTACGGGAGAGCTTGGAATGAACTGCTGTCCTTCCCTGGTCACTGCTGCGTGACCTTGGTCACGTGGTCACTGCCGTGTAAACATGAGCGTGGGATCTCTGTTGTGTGGCCAGGTAGCTGCTGTTTTGCAATCATCTGGCACTACACATGATGATTAAGACAACTCACTTTTTCCAGAAAACCTATATTCAGATCTCACTTTGTGGGTCTGTCCAAGGGTTCTTGGCAGGAAGTGGTCCTTTTTAGTATTCTTCCATGAATCTTGCTGCCAGGGGACAGTGTCCACTATGCCATTAGAAAATGGCTGGTTCTTTGAGGGTCTGCACCTGACCTTCACCAGCCACTCAGAGCCTGGCCCTGCCCAGCTCTGCCCTGCCTGGCCCTGCCTGGCCCTGCCTGGCTCTGCCTGGCCCTACCTGGCCCTGCCTGGCCCTGCCTGGCCCTGCCTGGCCCTACCTGGCCCTACCTGTCCCTGCTCTCCCTTGCCCTGCCTGGCCCTGCCTGGCCCTGCCTGGCCCTGCCCAGCCCTGTCCTCCCTTGCCCTCCCTGGCCCTGCCCAGCCCTGCCCTCCCTTGCCCTGCCTGGCCCTGCCTGGCCCTACTTGGCCCTGCCCAGCCCTGCCCTCCCTTGCCCTGCCTGGCCCTGCCTGACCCTGCCCAGCCCTTTTGACAACCCCAGGCCCAGGGAGGCACTGATCCATCCACTCCTTGGTCAGAGATGAGAACAGCACACCCAGGTCTGGGTGGAGACCAGGGCTTCCCCGCTGCCTCCCCTTCGAGCCTTCGCTGGGCTCCACCCCCTGCTACCTGCCCCCCAGCCCTCGCTGGGCCACACCCCCTGCTACCTGCCCCCCAGCCCTCGCTGGGCCACACCCCCTGCTACCTGCCCCCCAGCCCTCACTGGGCCCCACCCCCTGCTACCTGCCCCCACTTCGAGCCCTCACTGGGCCCCACCCCCTGCTATCTGTTCCCCACCCCCCAGCCCTCACTGGGCCCTGGGTGAGGTTGCTGTCTGCCTCTCAGCTGTCCTCCCCCGAGCGGGGAGCCCCAGGCAAGCCCTGTCCCTGTCACTGGGGTGCCTGAGAAGCGTGACCCAGCACGGGCTTTGGCACTGTGTCTCTCAGATCCCCCACCTCTGAACCCAAGACTTGTAAGTGCTGTGGTGCTGTCAGCATCCCCAAGGTCACGGTTAGGGTTGGGGGAGTCCCTGGTATGTGGTCTCAGCTAATGGACCCTCGGTTATGTCGTTGATTGGAGTTGGGCTGCCTGTCTAAACCCCACCTCCCCCGTCACCTGCTCCCCAGGTAAGAGGTGTGAGCTCTGTGATGACGGCTACTTCGGGGACCCTCTGGGGAGAAACGGCCCCGTGAGGCTGTGCCGGCCTTGCCAATGCAGCGACAATGTGGACCCCAACGCCGTGGGGAACTGCAACCGCTCCACGGGCGAGTGCCTCAAGTGCATCTACAACACTGCTGGCTTCTACTGTGATCGCTGCAGGGACGGCTTCTTCGGGAACCCCCTGGCCCCCAGCCCCGCCGACAAGTGCCGAGGTACCCGCTGCCCCGGGCTCCATGTCACAGCAGAGCCCAAGATGCAGTGTGAGGCTGATGTGACTGGCCAGGGGCCCAGCACACAGCTATGGTGTGGGAGAGAGCGGCCTTTCCCGTGGCACACCCAGCGGGGCTGGTGCCCCCCACACCCTTGGGCCCCATGGCAGGCAGCGACTGCCCCAGACAGTGCTGTCCGGGACCCCCGGGCTTGCTGCTCTTTGGTGACGCGTGGTAACTTCCCTCTCTACCCGTCCCCCAGCATGCAACTGCAACCCCTATGGGACTGTGAGGCAGCAAGGTGGCTGCGACCCGGTGACCGGGCAGTGCGAGTGTCTGTCCCATGTGGCCGGCCGTGACTGTGGGACCTGTGAGCCTGGCTTCTACAACCTACAGAGTGGGCGCGGCTGCCAGAGGTGAGGCCCCGGGGGCGTGGTGCCCTGGGCAGCGCCTGGCCACACAGTGGCGGGCTGCAGGGGCACTGCTGGCTGAGCTTGGGGCGGGGCTCTGCCCAGCAGGTGAAGTACCTCCTGTACCACCTGGCGGGCTGAGTTCCAGCTGTGCTGCTGTGGCCCAGCTCTGTGGCAGCGCAGACCCTGGTGGGCAGTGCAGGGTGACCCCAGTCCTTGGGCCTTGCCACTCGCACAGGAGAGCTGGGTGGAGTGCCAGGCCAACACATCCTGTTGTGGCCATTTGGGGACCAAACCAGTGGTTGGAAGCTCAGTCTCACCTCCGCCACTGCCTTTCAGATCAGTGGATCTTTAAAGAACACACAGTACAGAGGGACAGAGCCATATACACACACACACATACACAGCGAAGAGCCCCTGACTACCCTCCAGGGTTCAGGGTCCTCTGGGCTCACCCATCCACCCTCTACTCGCTCTCAGGTGCGACTGCCATGCCTTGGGCTCCACCGACGGGCAGTGTGACATCCGCACGGGGCAGTGTGAGTGCCAGCCAGGCGTCACTGGCCAGCGCTGCGAGCGTTGTGAGGTCAACCACTTCGGGTTCGGGCCTGAAGGTTGCAAACGTAAGGCTGCCCGCCCCTCCCCCTGTAGATCTAGGCAGCCCCTGCCCCCTGCCCTTCCCCAGCCCCTCCCCTACAGGTGTGAGGCACCATGGGGTCCCGGGCCCCAGGTACAGTGCGCTTAGCCAGAGCTTTCTTGCCCCACAGCCTGTGACTGCCACCCCGAGGGGTCCCTGTCGCTGCAGTGCAGGGAGAACGGGGGCTGCGAGTGCAGGCCGGGCTTCGTGGGCAGCCGCTGCGATCAGTGTGAGGAGAACTACTTCTATAACCGGTCCTGGCCCGGCTGCCAGGAGTGCCCGGCCTGCTACCGGCTGGTGAAGGACAAGGTGGGTCAGCGTCCAGGGTGGCATGGGCGGGGCAGCAGATCAGAGAAATCAGAGGTGTAGGTGCTTCTCAGGGCCTTTCCCGGGGGCACTCGAGGACCTCCTGGAGGGCAAGGTGGCAGCCTCGGACCGGATGCCTCACAGACTCCAAGCTGGGGTCCGCCTGCAGAGGGGCTGAGGAGGGGGTGATTAGCCAGGTGTGGGTGGGGCCTTCTGAGTAGACGAAGGTGTGTGTGTGAGTGTGGGAAAAGAGCCAGGGTCAGCTGGAGGCCGCTGGGGCCAGCCATGAGCAGTGTGGGGACAGGACCTGAGTGGCACTCATTGGCAGTCGAGGAAGAAGACCAACCGGCTCCTGGTCTGGGGGAGCCATTTGAGGGCAAGGTCATTGTTAGGGGTCCCGGGGGGCCGGGCTGTTTCCTCCCATCACCCTCCTCCTGTTCAGGTGGCCGAGCACCGGGCCAGGCTGCAGGAATTAGAGAGCCTTGTGGCCAGCCTGGGCACAGGGGACGAGGCGGTGACAGACCAGGCCTTTGAGGACCGGCTGAAGGAGGCCGAGCGAGAGGTCACGGACCTGCTGCGGGAGGCCCAGGACGTTAAAGGTAGGCAGGCCGGGCAGACCCCTGACAGCCACGGACGCAGGCTCTGCCCGCGGTGGGCTCTGGGCGGACCCCTGACAGCCACAGATGCAGGCTCTCCCTGCGGTGGGCTCTGGGAGGACCCCTGACAGCCACGGACGCAGGCTCTGCCCGCGGTGGGCTCTGGGAGGACCCCTGACAGCCACGGACGCAGGCTCTGCCCGCGGTGGGCTCTGGGAGGACCCCTGACAGCCACGGACGCAGGCTCTGCCCGCGGTGGGCTCTGGGCGCACCCCTGACAGCCACGGACGCAGGCTCTGCCCGCAATGAGCTCTGGGAGGACCCCTGACAGCCACGGACGCAGGCTCTGCCCGCAATGAGCTCTGGGAGGACCCCTGACAGCCACAGATGCAGGCTCTGCCCGCGGTGGGCTCTGGGCAGACCCCTGACAGCCACGGACGCAGGCTCTGCCCGCAATGAGCTCTGGGCGGACCCCTGACAGCCACGGACGCAGGCTCTCCCTGCAGTGGGCTCTGGGAGGACCCCTGACAGCCACGGACGCAGGCTCTCCCTGCGGTGGGCTCTGGGAGGACCCCTGACAGCCACGGACGCAGGCTCTGCCCGCGGTGAGCTCTGGGAGGACCCCTGACAGCCACGGACGCAGGCTTTCCCTGCAGTGGGCTCTGGGAGGACCCCTGACAGCTACAGATGCAGGCTCTCCCTGCAGTGGGCTCTGGGAGGACCCCTGACAGCCACGGACGCAGGCTCTGCCCGCGGTGGGCTCTGGGCGGACCCCTGACAGCCACGGACGCAGGCTCTGCCCTGTGGTGGGCTCTGGGCAGACCCCTGACAGCCACGGACGCAGGCTCTGCCCTGTGGTGGGCTCTGGGCAGACCCCTGACAGCCACGGACGCAGGCTCTGCCCGCAGTGGGCTCTGGGAGGACCCCTGACAGCCACGGACGCAGGCTCTGCCCGCGGTGGGCTCTGGGAGGACCCCTGACAGCCACGGACGCAGGCTCTGCCCGCGGTGGGCTCTGGGAGGACCCCTGACAGCCACGGACGCAGGCTCTCCCTGCGGTGGGCTCTGGGAGGACCCCTGACAGCCACGGACGCAGGCTCTGCCCGCGGTGAGCTCTGGTTGTATCCTGCCCTCAGACCTGCCAGGCTCGGAGCGCTGAATGTCCGTAGGGCGCTTCCATCACGGGGCTTGAGTCGCTGTAGGGGTTCATGGCGCACCATGTGGTCCTGTGTGTGAAACAGGCTGCATGGGCTCCTGCTGTTGCGCTTTCTGGGACAGGATCCAGGTCTGCCCCAGCCAGCCGGGGCTGTGCTGCCCACAGCATCCACAGACATGAACACAGGAAACCAGTGCCCTGGGATGTGTTCTGTGTGCCTCACTGTGGCCTGGCAGGACACAGTGCCACTGCGTTCCCCAGGGTCGAATGGGAAGCAGGCACAGGGTCTCCCTGACTTGAACCCAGAGATGTTCCCACTCCCCGGCGTGCCCCAGGCAGGGCAGCCGTGTCTCTGTCAAGAAGGGTAGTTCCTTGCCACTTACCACAGAGCTCCCCAGCCCCTAGCTGAGACTAGAACCACTCAGTCTCCAGTGGGACTCAAATCTGAAGTGAGAGACTTGGGAAGCAGGCTGCATCCATGTGCCTTCCATTACTGCTTTGCTGTAGCAGGACTCGCGTGCCAAAGCCAAGTGCAGCAGGCATGGCTGAGCTAGGACAGTCAGCACCGTTAGGGAGCAGGGCTCAGTTTAAAGCACTCGCTGCCTTGGTCCTGTGTACAGAGCCCAGTACTCTGCCATCAATGGGGTGCTGGGGCACTCGCTGCCTTGGTCCCGTGCACAGAGCACAGCACTCTGCCACCAATGGGGGTGCTGGGGCACTTACTGCCTTGGTCCTGTGCACAGAGCGCAGTGCTCTGCCGTCAATGGGGGTGCTGGGGCACTCGCTGCCTTGGTCCTGTGCACAGAGCCCAGCGCTCTGCCTTCAGGGTGGGACTGTTGGGTTTGCCGGACATGGATGTCCACTTGGGGCTCCTGGACAGGCAGCATTTTAGCTGTATGGAGTGTGCGTCTCAGGGACCTGCCCTGCGCTGGACTCCCAGCAGGGCTTTTCTGCCACCTAGCCTGCCCCCGATGTCCGCTTGGCCAGGCATACGTGGTTGTGAGAGGTGAGGAGAGGAGCTCATGGTAGCTGGGGCAGGTGCCACGCAGGGTCAGGGTGCAGCCAGGCTCCGAGTGCTCACCGTGTCCTCTCACCACCTGGCAGACGTGGACCAGAACCTGCTGGGCCGGCTCCAGAGGGTGAACAGCACGCTGTCCAGCCAGATCAGCCGTCTACAGAACATCCGCAAGACCATCGCAGAGACAGCAGGCCTGGCCGAGCAGGCCCGCGGCCGTGTGCAGAGCACTGAGCGCCTCATAGAAATCGCATCCAGAGAGCTGGAGCGGGCCAAGGTGGCTGCGGCCAACGTGGTAAGAGGCTGCGCCGCCCACTGCGGGCTGCCGTGGGGCACTGGACGCCTGTGCTGGCCATGTAGGGCTTTGCCTTCCTGCCCCGTGCAGCCACAGATGGTTCTGGCACAACAGTTGCCAGGCGCTAGGGCACTCGCTGCCTTGGTCCTGTGCACAGAGCCCAGCATTCTGCCATCAGTGGGGGCGCTGGGGTGCTTGCTTCCTTGGTCCTGTGCACAGAGCCCCAGCGCTCTGCCGTCAGGGTGCTGGGGTGCTTGCTTCCTTGGTCCTGTGCACAGAGCCCAGCGCTCTGCCGTCAGGGTGCTGGAGGCGCGGGGCTCAGCAGCAGGAGCAGCAGTGGCTTCCCAGCTCTGGCCATGCTCAGGCCTGTGACTGCTGCTCTCCCTGCAGTCTATTACACAGCCTCAGGCCACCGGGGACCCAAACAACATGACGCTGCTGGCGGAAGAGGCCCGCAGACTCGCGGAACGGTAGGTGACAGCCGCCCGTCCCCTCAGCGTTCCCGTTTTCCCCCAGTTAAAGTCCCACATTCTGGATGCTTAGATCCTTGGCCTCAAAGCTCTAAACTTAGCGGATGACTAAGAGGGCTAGAAGCACTAAATCACCAGTTCTTAAAAACTTCTGAAGTTTCTAAGCAAAAATGTAGAAAGCAAGCCAGCAACCTTTTATTTCATTCCTGATTCTTTTTCTAATACTTGCTAGTAAACAGATGGTGATTTTAACAGGCCTCAAGTTGGAAGATTATAAAACTGACTTGTCAGGACGTGGGCCCTGTGGCCTGGCCTTTCTCCTGGCTAGGTGCCAGAGGAGAGGTGACTGGGTGCTGACCCAGCCCCTGCGCACTGCTCAGTCGGGTCCTGCCGGCCTGTCTGGTGCCCGCTGCCAGCAGCATCAGCCAGCAGTAACCAGGCTGTGTCCGAGGGCCTGAGGGCCATGAGGCGAGACTGCCAGGTGTCAGCAGTGCACGCTGTCCCACCTAGATGGAGTTAGGTCTCTGAGATAGCATCATTTGCCCTGTTTTACACCATTGGTTTTCTTGAATAAAATCTATCTTCATTTGCAGAATATTATTCATAAATAGCCACACTGAACTGTTTTCGGGAATTCAGGGTTCATAGGACTCTGCCCACATCGTGTGTGTGAGCAGAATAGAGCAAGCTTGGTCCCCGCCCTGCCCACATCCACAGACATGTCTACCCCAGGGTTACTCTGTCACCTGTCCCCGCAGCCATAAGCAAGAAGCGGACGACATCGCCCGCGTGGCCACCACGGCCAACGACACCTCCGCTGAGGCGTTTGCCCTGCTGCTGCGGACGCTGGCGGGAGAGAACCAGACAGCGTTGGAGATCCAGGAGCTCAACCGGAAGTGAGTGGCTGGCTGTGCCGACGCAGCACCCAGATGTTCTGCAGGCAGGAGACTGCTGCTCTCGCTGCTACCTCATGTGGGGAGCAGAGTCGGGCTGTAGCGAGGCCAGCTCTGCCCGAGCCTTGTGGCAGTGGAAGCGTGCCTGGTCCCAGGGGATCCCTTCATTTCCAACACCTCCGTGGAGCCCCACTCCACGGGATGGGAAAGCAGACAGTGTCCAGTGCCTGGGCCCCAGGGCCAGGGCGACACGGACTTTGGGTCTGGGCCAACTTGGAACATCAGTGTTACCCAGGATGACACATCACAGGGTGAGGACCCAGCCTGACTGGCCCCCGCATGTGTGTGTCCTGTGCTGCTCGGCCACAGCCTGAGCCTCCCCAGGCTTGCACTGCAGCCACAGAGCCTCGTGCTGGAGGTGCAGGCCAGGGCCCTCGGGCTGTCCCTGCAGCTCTATGGGGAGTGACGAGGCCACATGCGGTGTCCCGGCGAGGGCCTTTCCCAGTGTGTCCACGTGTGTGAGCGCTCGTTCCACTCCCCCCAGGTATGAACAAGCAAGGAATCTCTCCCGGGACCTGGAAGCACAGGCTGCCCGCGTGCACGAGGAGGCCAAGCGGGCAGGCGACAAGGCTGTGGAGATCTATGCCAGCGTGGCGCAGCTGAGCCCTGTGGACTCAGAGGCCCTGGAGGTGAGGGGCCTCTGGGGCGCATGTGTGGGGTGGTGCTGGTGAGGGGCAGTGTGGAGTGCATGCTTGGGGTGAGCCTGCTGAGGGGTAATATGGGGCACACACAGGGAGTGAGGTCTAGTGAGGGGTAACACTGGGCATACGCGTAGGGTGGGGCCTGGTGAGGGGCGGTTCGGGACTGTGGACACTGAGCCACCCAGGGGTGGGCAGTGTCTGGGGCTCCCATGACAACCCCAGCTGTTGGACATCTGAACCGCCTGCAGCTGGGGTCCGGACATGTGGCAAGGCAGTTACGCAAAGGAAGGGCCTGAGGGGGCCTGGGCCGGGCTCAGTGGGTCTGTGTCCCGTCTGTCCCCTGGGATGGACTCTTGGTGCATGGTATGTTTTCCACATCAAGCTTCCTGTTTGTTTATTTGAAAACGTGTCAGTGAGGGAAGAAGGTCTCTGGCCTCTGATTTCATCCCTCGGTGCCCACGGCAGCTGGACTGGCCACGCTGAGTCCAGGTCTCCCACATGGACACAGGCGCCCGAGCTCCTGGGCTCTGCTCAGTGACCTCCCAGGCACTTTCAGGGAGCTGAGTGGGAAGCAAAGTGGGCTGTCCCTGCACGCTAACCACACAGAGTGCCAAGTTCCTGGGACTGGGAAAGTCAGGCTTGGGCCGACATTGCCAGTCAGGGTGAGCCTGCTGCCGTCGGGGGCCTGGCATCTGCCTCCTCCTGTGTGTGGAGCTGGGAAGCTGGGGACCAGGCCAAGGTGGCAGCTGCAGTGGGACGGTCCCGTGTCCCGGCACGTTGGGTGGGGTGCGAGCGTCCCCAGGCCCAGCCCTGTGTCCCGCGTGGGCATGTCTGAGACAAAGCCGTCCTCAGAACGAGGCGCGCAGGATACAGAAGGAAGCCGAGGACCTGGACCGGCTGCTGGACCAAAAGCTGCAGGACTACGAGGACCTGCGGGACGACATGCGCGCCAAGGAGCTGGAGGTGCAGACGCTCCTGGAAAAGGGCAGGACAGAGCAGCAGGTCGGTGGGGCTGGTCGCGGGTCCTGAGGGCCAGGCAGGGCCAGGCAGGGCTCAGCCCTCACCCAGATGTCCTTGCAGACTGCAGACCAGCTCCTTGCCCGTGCCGATGCTGCCAAGGCACTTGCCGAGGAGGCCGCCAAGCGGGGCCGCGACACTTTGCAGGAAGCCAACGACATCCTCAACAACCTGAATGGTAGGAGCGGCAGGCACAGCTCCCAGCCCCGTGTGGCCTGGGCCCGGCCACACAGCCCGGGGCCCTACCCTCCCAGCCCCCTGTGCAGCCTGGGGCCCAGTGCTGCCAGCACTCTCTGTGGCCTGGGCACAGACATGCACCCCAGGGCCCGGCCCTCCCAGCACTTTGTGTAGACGGAGGGGGTCCCAGACATGTACCCCAAAGCCCATATCCTGGTGTTCACCAGCATGGGCGTTGCTATGTCGGGGTTGCCACATTGCCTGCTCATGCTCGTGCCCCTTCCTCTGCCCGTGACATCCCCGAGCAGCCCTGCCGTCCCCAGTGACACAGTGAGGTGTGTGAGGCAGGGCACAGGCAGGGCCTGAAATCCTGCCTGGTAGATGTGTCCCTCGCAGCAACAGGCGCTGCCTCTGTGTCCTGCCCCATGGGCCAAGGAGCTGCAGCCACCGCGGGGTCAGGCGATCATGCCCATGACCCCGTGACATGGGTTTTCCATGGAGGACGTGTCCAGCCGGCCCCTCAGCTCTCTGCTCAGCCCCTCCTGTCCTTGCAGACTTTGACAGGCGTGTGAACGACAACAAAACAGCCGCCGAGGAGGCGCTGCGCAGGGTCCCTGCCATCAACCGGACCATCGCTGAGGCCAACGAGAAGACACAGGGGGCACAGTTGGCACTGGGCAACGCCGCAGCAGACGCCACCGAGGCCAAGCACAGGGCCCACGAGGCCGAGAGGATCGCCAGCGCCGTCCAGAAGGTGTCCTGCCAACTCCCCCGGCCCCGTCCCCAACTCCATCAGAACTGCCAGGACAGAGGCCCTTGAAGTTCTCTGGATGGGCCCTGGCTGCTGGGACAGCCAGCTCCTGAGGGCCATCCCATCCCTTGTCTGAGCTGAGCAGACTGCCCGAGCAAGCACCTCTGGGACCTTAGCCATTCCCCTCAGGCTATCCTGAGTGCAGCTCTCACCCAAGGGAGCATGGGAGCAGGTGCAGCATCACCCATGCCACTCCCAGTGGGGCCCAGAGACACCCACCCTGTGACCCCCTGGAGAGCCCTCCGTGGAGCCTCCCACAGGGACCTGACCCAGAGAGGCCCCACAGAGACCTCGCACAGGAACCCGAGATCAGACACTCTCGGGCCGCCTTCAGCAGCGGCGTGGGCTTCATTCCCAGCCACCTGCTCTCTTGTGCACAGAATGCAACCAGCACCAAGGCAGAGGCCGAGCGGACGTTTGCGGAGGTCACTGACCTGGACCAGGAAGTGAGCGACATGCTGAAGCAGTTGCAGGACGCAGAGCAGGAGCTGAAGCAGAAGCAGGAGGATGCCGAGCAGGACATGATGATGGCCGGGATGGTGAGGGCCGGCAGCCAGCTGGGGGACAGGGACACGGCGTGGGGTGGTGAGGGCTGGCGGCCAGCTGGGGACAGGGTGTGGGGACAGGGACACGGCGTGGGGTGGTGAGGGCTGGCGGCCAGCTGGGGACAGGGTGTGGGGACAGGGACACAGCATGGGGTGGTGAGGGCTGGTGGCCAGCTGGGGACAGGGACACGGCGTGGGGTGGTGAGGGCCAGCGGCCAGCTGGGGACAGGGTGTGGGGACAGGGACACAGTGTGGGGCAGTGAGGGCCGGCGGCCAGCTTGGGGACAGTGCATGGGGACAGGGGGCAGGGCGTGGAGCAATGAGGGCCAGTGGTCCACCCAGGAGGACAGGGTGTGGGGTGGTGAGGGTTGGTAGCCAACTGGAGGCAGGGTATGGGACAGTAAGGACCAGCGGCCAACTGGGGAACAGGGTGTGGGGCAGCGAGGGCCAGCAGACAACTGAGGGAACCGGACATGGGGCAGTAAGAGCTGGTGGCCAACCCGGGGGACAGGGCATGGGGGGCAGGGCATGGGGTGGTGAAGGCTGGCAGCCAACTGGGGACAGGGAGTTAGGCCTGGGGCAGTGAGGGCACAGCTCTCCATAGGAACTCTACAGTTTCCTGCCATCCAGGCACAGTGCACTCTCAGGCAAAGGCTAGGGGACCCTGGAGTGAGTGTCTAGTCTTAGATGGTGCCCTGCCGGGAGAGGGCAGTGGGCAGCCGAGTCTGTGTCCTCCTATTGCTGGCTCCTGGGCATCCACAGAGGTGACCCATGGACATCTTGAAGACGGCAGCCGCCAGCTGCCTGTGCCTGGCCCCAGGAAAGTTCCCCTTCCATCTGGGCTGTGTTCGGGACGTGGTTGTGGTCCTTGGCAGAGCACGGGTTCCTGCCAGATGCAGCACAGTAACTGTGGCTGACCCTCACAGAGACTCAGGTCAGAGGGGCCTTTTCTTGTTTGCCCCAAGCTGGGGGTCCCACTGTCCCAGCCTTGTCCTCAGGAGGGAGGAGGGCAGGGTAGGGAGCACTGGAACTAGGAGCCACGTGTGGACAGCTGATGGCACGCATGGCTCAGACACAAATCCCCTTATCTGTGTGTGTGTGCATGGCATGTCGGCATACTGTGTGTATGTGTGTGCGTGGTGTGTCGGCATAGTGAGTGTGTGTATGTGCTGTGTGTATGTGTCTGACGTGCCTCTGCAGTATGTCAGCATGCTGTGTGTGTGTGTGCGTGGTGTGTGGTCAGCATATTGTGTGTATACATGGGTGGAATGAGACGTGTGCTGTGAGTGACGTGTGTGCGTGGTGTGCGCTATGCCCCTGACATGTGCCATGTCTGTGTGTCGTATGCTGTGTGAGCGGTGCTCGCCGCGTGCTGTCTCTGCCATGAGCATGCCTAGCGTGTCTGCGTGGCCTACAGCAGTGAGAGGGGAGGTTGCAGAAGGTGACACTTGGCCACGGGGTCATCTGAGACCCAATGTTTCTGAATTGTCCCAGAAGACTCCTGCCCTCACCCGTGTGCAGCCTCTTGGGGGCTGCGTGTGCCCACTGCACCTGCCCACATTCAAGTGAGGGGAGAGGCGAGATCCACCCTGGGACCACAGGCCCTCCTCGGTGTGGTCCCCCAGGGTGGGGCCTGCCTATCCTCCCTGGGCAGATGTAGTGGGCAGCTCTGAGCCCACCCATCCTCCTGCAGGCATCACAGGCCGCTCAGGAAGCCGAGATCAACGCCAGGAAGGTCAAGAACTCGGCCACCAGCCTGCTGGGCATCATCAATGACCTCCTGCAGCAGCTGGGTGAGTGGCCGGGCCACCTCCTGCGTCCCTGACTCCATGCTCGGGGCTGGGGTGGGTGACACCCACAGAGATGAGGACCTTGGCCCCCAGGACCAGGCTCTGGGGACAGCCGCTGGGCAGGGTGGTACCCTCAGGTACAATGAAGGGACATCCCCGTATCCGAGGGAGAGGACCTGGCCGTGCCTCGCTGCCCCATGGGGCTCTGAGCTAAGGAGGGAGCATCTGACCTCTCGCGTGTCCCTGCCGGCCCACAGGGCAGTTAGACACAGTGGACCTGAACAAGCTCAACGAGATCGAGGGCAGCCTGAACAGGGCCAAAGGGGAGCTGGAGGCCAGCGGGCTGCTGCGCAAGGTGTCCGACCTGGAGGACGAGGCCCGGAAGCAGGAGGCCGCCCTGCTGGGCTATGACCGCGACATCGAGGAGGTGCTGCGGGACATCCGTAACCTGGAGGACATCAGGCGCAGCCTGCCGTCCGGCTGCTTCAACACGCCGTCCATCGAGAAGCCCTAACGCCGCCCGCCGCCCCTCCCCGCACAGGCAGCCTCGTCCCGGTCCCCCGCCTGTCTATGAAGGAAAAGCTGGGCCCGGAGTCTGGGGAGAGGGCCGTGGGGGCATCTGGCCAGCTGCTGGGAGGGTGGACAGCTCACGGGGGACTGCTGACCCCAGCCCTCCGTGAGCAGCTGGCACGCTGTAACCACTGCGGTTGTCCTCCACGTCCAGCAAGGGCTGATGGCGACTGGCCGGCTGGGCCAGGACTCGGGCAGAGGGACAGCGGCCAGCGAGACCTCAGCCCAGTAACAGGCCAGGAGAGACGTGGCCACCGCCCATCCTCAGAACAGCTGGCGCCCTCCCATCGCCCTGGAATCTCCTGGACTGGGGGCTGACTGCCAGGTGCCGTCGGCGGACCCTGGGGCCCTGCACTCCATGGTGGCATGGTGCCTCCCAGGCTCCCCACCATGGGCTCCCCACTGGGCTGCCCGGCCTCGGTCCTGCCCCCGCCTCTCTGCCTTCACCACTATGCAACTTCACCCCTTGCTCGTGGGGGGAGACGGTGACCTGACACACTGGTGCTATTAATTATTACAAATTTATATTTTTGTGTGAACGTTTGTTTTATCATGATTATAGAGTAAGGAATTTATGTGAATATCCCCAGCCATTTCTAGAACGGGGCGTCTGCTGGCCACCTCGCTCCCCGTCCTCCCCCTCCCGGGAATCTCCCGTCTGTCGGGTCCCTTGCCGCCCAGGCTTGGGGGGCCTGCTTCCTCCTCCACACTGGGGGGAAGGCCTTGGGCTCCACCGCACCGTCTGGGTCTTCCCAGGAATGAGCCAACGGTGGGTCTGGAGCAGGTGCCCCAACAGCAGCACGGGGCTGGCAGGGAGGAGCGTGTGGCGGCATCCTGCTCACCCCAGGCCCCAGCGCTGGCTGCCTGTGAGGGCCTGCAGGTCGCCCATGCCCATGGACCAGGCTGGCCAGGGAGGCACTGAGGGTGGGCCTCGCGGGGCCTGAGCCGGCTTTCCGTTTTGTTGTGCATTTTTCTCTCCCTCCACCTGTGTGGTGTATTTCACAGTCACTTGCAGGGCGGCCCCGAGAGATGTGCCAGCCGCCACCTACGTGCCTTCACCTGAGCTGTCCGCCTTAATCTGCCGTCTTGCTTTCCAGGGTGGTTAATAAGATGCAACACTTGGCATTTTGTATGTTTAAGAAACAGTATTTTATTTATAATAAAATCTGAATATTTGTAACCTGTTCTTAGTGTGGTAAAGTGTGTCTCTGGGAACATGAAAGGGGTGGGTAATGCTTCCTGGGAATGGTCCGCGGGGAGAACGTAGCAGGTGCAGGGCACCACGGCACGTACCATGTCTGGGCTCTTCTGCTCCTGTGTACTCTGGGCTCTGGGCTTGAGATCCTTCCTGCAGCCGCCAGCCTGGCCACCCTCTGTCCTCCAGCAATTCCCCCATCGCTCTGACAGGACCCTGCTGCATGTCTGCCTGGGCCCAAGCAGCCTGGCACACCCACCTGCAGGACACACCCGCCAGCCCATGCTGTGCCGGCTCCTGTTCTCAGCCAGTCTGCCCCAGCCACACATCTGCCTCAGCCCAGAACCCAGGGTCCAGGGGGGCAAGTGCAAGGCCGGTGAGCACCGCAGGGCCAGTGGGAGGAGCCACCGTCAGGGATTATGGGTTCTGGGGCTGCTGAGCCAGTGCCTGAGCTGTGGTTTCGACAATGATGGGTTCTGCATGGTCAGGGCGAGTATTGGCCCGACCGTCGGCTTGCTGTCTCAGCCAGGAGGGCTCAGACCTCGGCAGGCTGCCTGCTTGGCACCCCAGGACCCTGGAAGGCCTGGCACAGTGCAGGCCACGAGCTCGCATGGAAAGGCACTCACACTCCCCCACGTGACCCGGATTCCCAGGGCATTGGCTCACCGGCGTTCACCTTGGGGCCTCCCTTGCTCCAAGGACTGCTGGATCTGTGTCCTCCCTGGCTGCGCCTGCATGGCCAGCTGCCTCTAACCCAGACTCCCCACCCCCAGGGCACTTCCCAAGCACCCTCAACAGTGGTCGGTGTGGAGAGGAAGCAGCCATGCAGGGCCGGCTCCTGCAGCACCATGGCAGAGCACAGAACGTGGGCAAGGACCCAGGTTCCTGCATTCCCCCGCCGCACCTCCTCTTGGTCCGCACGACCCCAGGGTCTGTCCCCAACAGGAGCGTCCTGGTCCTGGCCGAAGCTCAGAGCAGGTGTTCCACACTGCAGACGGGAGGGTGATGCTCAGCACAGCCAGGGGTCCGAACCCAGCATTTGGGTTCACAGTCTGCATGCCCCAAGGGCTACAGTGGGGAGGCCTGCCTTGGGCCAGCTTCGGGCTGGGAAGGGCGAGGGGTAGGGAGCCTGTGCCTTGCTGGGCGGAGCTGGCTTTGCTCCTGGTCAGTCATGGCCTCTGTCAGCAAGCTCAGAAATGAAGTTGAATCTTCTCAATGATATGGTATCACACTGTAGCCTGACCCTGGTGTCTGGCCGTGAGGGTTCCTGCCAGCTCCAGCAGACAGGGGTCTTCGGTCACGGGCACCCCCTCCTCCTTAGACTCAGCCTTGGCTTGGTGCTTGGTAGCACTGGCTCGGTCTCCAGCTCATGGCATCTCCCACTGCTGGCGGCCCCAAGCAGCTGACTTTATGTCACTGACATAGAACTCACGTGGCAGGTGAGATGAGACCGGCATCCGGGCAATGTGGAGCCCTGTGTGGGTACCCTGGTTGCCCCAGCCCCTCTGTAGCCCCTGCTTGGCCAGGCAGCCGCACTTGCCCAGCGGAAGCGGCCTCAGTCACAGGCCTCAAGGGTTTTCCCTCCAGTGACACCCCAGGAAATGTCTGGCCCTGGCCCTGGCTGACACACAGTGACTCAGTGCTGGGCCCTGTATATCCTGCATGCAGAGGGAGCCAGGAGCTGGGCGACATCCCCTGAGGCCGTGGGCAGGGCACGCACAGCCAGCTCCCACTGTGGGGCATCTGCACGCGGCGCTGGACTGGCTGCACACCAGGGGTCCCCAGGAGCACACCCTGCAAGCAGAGACCTGGGCACCCAGGCACCCCAAACCTCACTGCATGGCCACAGACTGTCAGCATCCATGGGGGCACTGGCTCTGGGCTCCTTTCGGCTCGCTCTACCAGCTGGCCCCAGGGCCTATCCCCAGGTGTGTGACACGGAGTGGGAGGAGGGTGTTCCAGACAAGGCAGTGGGGATGCCAAGCCGGGCTGTGCCCCTCCCCCCGGTGAGCGCACAGACCCCCAGCTCTGGAGGCTAAAGGCCGGTGTGGCCAAGCACATGTGAGAACCTTCCGGGCTGTCCAACTGGGGCCAGTACCATGGCACAGCTAATGAAGAGCCGCCTGCACCGCTCACGTCCCAAATGGGCTCTAGTTTATGTCCCAGCTGCTCCACTTTGCAGCCAGCTCTCTGCCGGTGCATCTGGGAAGCAGTAGAGGGTGACTGAGTCCTTGAACCCTGCACCCATGTGGGAGACCCAGCTGAAGCCCCTGGCTCCTGGCTTCAGCCCAGCTCAGCCCAGGCTGTGGAGCCATTTGGGGAATGAACCAGCAGACGAAAGATCTCTCTCCCCCTCTCTGTGTAATTCGGATTTTCAAATAAATACATAAACCTTAAAAAAACAAAAACACAGACCTTCTTCCAGAGTGGCTTTAGTTTATCAAGTGTCCCTCTGGGGGAGGGCAGTGTGGTCCAGCTCCCCGTTGTTCAGTCACAGCTTCTGTCCTCCAGTGGCTGTAGGGGGGTGGGGCCAGGCAGGCGACAGCAGGAGAGTGCCCACAGAGCCTGGGGCAGCCACTGGGGCCCCAAGGCTGGACCACAGGACACCTGCGTCTGCAGGCTCAGGGCTCAGACCCCGACAGGTCTGGCCCGCTCTACCCCACTGGATGTCCACGGGCTCTCCAGCCGGCTTGGAGTTCCAGGCCATCCGTCCTCACTCACAGCCTTCCCATGGGGCTTGGGGAGGAAGTTGCTGGCCCTGGAACTGCCCCCTGCCCCTCCTACCCCCTGCGCCTGAAGGAAGCAGACTCTACAACACTGCTCACAGACACTCAGTAAAAGCGAAATTCCCTGTGCACAGCAGCAAGTGTGAGGCTGAGACTCCGGCTAGAAAGGACATGGTGTCCCCCGTAACAGCTGGGGAGGCAGCTGGGGGCGCCACAAGGGACAGAGACGGCCCAGGTACCAGGAGGGTCCCGTACGACACCGACATTCAAGCTGTCCATAGGCGTGGGATTACTGAGAAAACATCAGACAGCCAACCGGGGCCACCTGCCAGACCCCTCCCAGCGCCCCCAAACCCTGCAGGCCTCCCGGAATACCAGCAGCCAGAACGCCGGGCAGCTGAGAGCAGATGGCACCTGCTGACCTGCAGGCTCTGCACAGAGGGAAATGAAGGAGTCCGCTGCGGGGTGAATTCCTGCAACAGGAGGTGACTTGCAGGTGCACCAGCCTGGTGGGAGATCTGCTGGGGAGGGGTCGTGGCAGGAACTGGGGCCCGGGGCACAACTGCCCTGGCTCAAGTCACCACTCCCTGCCCCACCACAGGCAGCCTGGCCCAGCCACTGCTTCCTGGCCCCATGGTGCCCACCATGCCACTGCCTCTCCAGAGGGACTTGGACAAGAAGAGTTAGTCCGGGCACACTCTTCCTCCCTGGGCGGCTCGTGCATACTTGCTCAGCCATTCAGAGCAGTGCCGTGGACTCTGCTGTCACACAGGAGTTCTGGGTGGAATGACCAGACTGCTGACGCCAAGACGCAATGTTCACCCTTCGCAGAGGCTGGAAGCCCAACATGGAAGAAGTGGGGGACCGGGGACCAGTCAGGGACCAGGCCTGGCCACAGACCAGCTGCGTCACATGGGGCTACCAGGTCAAGCTTAGTTACCGAAACACCAGTGGCTGCCCTAGTAAGAAGCCAGACAGCATAACTGTGGCCGAGGGCGCAGGGGGAGCACCTCTTCTGGCACAGTACGGTCCTCAGGCCACACTGTCCTGGCACAGGTGGGGGACCCTCCAGGCCGACCCCTGATGGCACAGCAGCAGTGGCTCATGCAGACCCCCACACAGCGACGGGGTGTCCACGCTACGAGCTGTTTCAGTTTCTGACTCCAAGGCTCAGAGTGTGCCAGCAGGCCTCCTCAGGCTTTCAGTGCAGCGGGCACCCACAGCGATGGGGCAGAAAGAGACACTCCAGGAAAGGTCTCACGGACCAAGCCAGCCACAGCGGACCCGAGAGCGCTGGAGGAGCAGGGTGGACAGCCCCAGTGCACGCTCCAGAGCTTCCGGCGACAGGACCGAAGCGTCTGCCTCATACCAGGACAGGGCCAAGGAACCTGGCAGGGGGCCGGCACAGGTGTCACACTGGTGTCCCACGTCAGCGGCAGCCCCCTCCTAAGGCCAACAGGCCCCCCAGGCTGACAGCCCATCACGCAGAAAGCACCCCTGCCCAGGCCTGTCAGACAGGCTTCCCTGGGCGGGCAGGCCAAGCTCCGCGCTGGATCCCACGCTCTGACTGGGTACGGCCAGGCCAGGTAGCCCCCAGGACTTCCAGGCAACACGGTGGGCCTCACTGCTAATGGGGAGGGATCGCGGTGGCCCTTGTCTGTCACGCCTGCGAGTGGACGAGTGCTCACAGTCGTTCCCGGGCGACCCTTCCATCCAGACTCCGGCCAACGCGCTGAACCGTGCAGTGCTCACTGTGCAGACGGTAAGATTGCTTAGGTTTTATTTGGAAGGAGCAGCTATGGAGAGGAAAACCCTGTGCTGTTTCTCTCCCAAATGGCAGAGCGGCCGGAGCAGAGCTGGAATCTCCTCCGTGTCTCCCGGGGGTGCAGGGGCCCGAGGCCTTGGCCCATTTCTGTGCTGCTTTTCCTAAGTCTTCCGCAGGGAGCTGGATGGGAAGTGGGCATCCAGGGCTCAAACCAGCTCCCCTATGGGATGCTGGTGCCGAAAGTAGAAACCACAATGCCACAACACTAGCCACAGAGATGATAATTCTGCAACCAGTTAACTGGGAAAGATGAGCTGTTTCAGAGTTTTCCTGAACATTTAAGACAAAGTCAGAGACACTCCCCGTCCCCAGCACAGCCCCAGTGCAGGGCGCTGGTGGACTGCCATGACGGGGTGGGCTGGACGGGAAAGTTTGGGGATTTCTGCCGATATCCTGGAAAGCTGACCTGGGTGCCTGAGCTCTGCAGAGG